AAAAGCCTCGGTGGCTCTTGTACCTTCATGTGATGCCCTCACATCATCACAATATGACCACCCCCATGTCGTCACAAGATGGCTGCCCCATTTAGTCACAAAGAGACCACCACAAGAAGGCTGCCACAACATGGTTGCCCCCATATCGTCACATGATGGCTGCCACAAGAAGGCCACCACAAGATGGCTGTCACATGATGGCTGGCAGGGGAGGGTAGTTGGGAGTGAACAGGCCAGCAGGGGACTGCAGTTGGGGCTGATCAGGCTGGCAGGGGAGGAGTTAGGCATCAATCAAGTTGGCAGGGGAGCAGTTAGGGGGTAATCAGGCAGGCAGGCAGGGAGGTGGTTAGGAGCCAGCAGTCCCGGATTGTGAGAGGGATGTCTGACTGCCAGTACCTGTAAACTGGCAGTCGGACATCCCTCGTGGGTTTTTCAGATTGGAGAGGGTGCAGGCTGGGCTGAGGGACACCACATCTAGTGCCCAAATTTCATGACCGGGCCTCTAGTAGATATAGATATAGTTAGATATAGGTATAGATAATACAGATAGATACAGATATAGATGTATATATAAATATAAATACATATGTAGATATAGATACAGATACATATGTAGATATAGCTCTTCCTTTTTTAATCATCAATTGAGGATGTTTTCATATATTATTAGAGGGAAAGGAAAGAATAGAGAGAGAAACATCAATGATGAGAGACATTGTTTGAATGCATCCTGCATGCCACATACAGGAGATGTTGTCGTCAACCTGAACATGTGCCCTGTCCAGGAATTGAACAGTGACCTCTTGGTTCATAGGTTGATGCTCAACCACTGAGCCATGCTGTCTGGGCTGTTCCTGCACAACAGTTAGGATTCACAGAGCTCCCTGTGTACATGGGCTCTGGTAAGTGGGACTTTGGCAACATTATAAATGACCGGGCCCCAGCCCTTCCCTCACTTCCCTCTTGAGGATGTTCATATATTATTAGAGGGAAAGGAAAGAATAGAGAGAGAAACATCAATGATGAGAGACATTGTTTGAATGCATCCTGCATGCCACATACAGGAGATGTTGTCGTCAACCTGAACATGTGCGCTGTCCAGGAATTGAACAGTGACCTCTTGGTTCATAGGTTGATGCTCAACCACTGAGCCATGCTGTCTGACCATGGCCCGTGTCTCATGGAGGGCCTGGCACAGGAGATGGGTATGAAAGGATGATGTAAGAGGCTGGCAGGCAGAGGCAGTTAAGGGCAATCAGGCAGGCAGGCAGGCAAGTAGTTAGGAGGCAGCAGAGCTGGATTGTGAGGAGGTCCATTTAAGGTAAAACAT